GTGCATGTCTGTAATCCTAGCACTTGGGAGGTTGAGGTACGAGGAGCTAGAGTTCAAAGCCAGCCTGGGTTATAGCAAGAACCCATCTCATAAAACAGAAACAAACAAAAAGAGTTTTTGGAGAAGTTGAATTTTGCATTGCACCTGATAGAGTGTGGGGAAAGGTTTGGATGCAGTTTGCCCACGTCTCTCATACTCAACTGCATTTTCTCCAATACTGAAATCTTGAGAGTCCTCCTTCCATCACGAAAAAGGAAAAAGTGCTATCCAACAGGAATGCCGTATGGTACAGATTGTGATAGGAGAGGCTAGGGTGCTTTCAGTTAGTATCAGCAGAACTTATGCCTCTTTTCTTTTGCCAGCACTACCCAGCTTACAGAGCCTTCCATGCAGATGACCTCACAAGAGCATCCTACCAAAGGAACTGGTATTAGACCCCATTTTACAGGGTACTTGGGTAGGAAAGGGAGTGTGATGGATTGGGCTGAGGTGTTGGCACTAGGCATTGCTTCCTACCCATGTGCCCTGGGGCAAGTTGCTTAACCCCACTGAGCCTCAGTCTTCTCAGGAAAGTATTCCAAGCATGAAGTTACCCTAAGATTCATAAATTGCAGATATCAGCTCGGTACTGGCATTTAATCCTAGCTACTTGGGACGCTGTTATCAGAGGATTGTGGTTTGAGGCCAGCCCAGGCAAATAGTTCAGAAGACCCCCATCTCCAAAATAACCAAAGCAAAAAGGACTGGAGGTGTGGCTCAAGCAGTAGAATGTCTGCTTTGTGAGTGTGAAGCCCTGAGTTCAAATTTCAGTTATATATATATGACAGATGCCATTGTCAGGAAGTTGTTAGTTATCTGGTTATTGGGTTGCAGAGCCTAAAGTTAAACCTGGGTTGTTCAAGTGCTGGATTTATACTTCGAGTCTTAGCCATACTCCTTTTCTCAATATACATGTTAAAACATCCATGAGAGGATAGGCTCTCAAATACAAATGGCTATATAATTAGCATTGTTTTCATTTCCTCTGAATCCATTCATTTGTTCAGTACATGTTTATTGGAGCATCTACAAGATTTCAAGCACTCTTATGTATGGCAGTGATTTAAACAATTTAAACCATTTTTAGAACATGGTAGAGCAGGTGCTAGTAGCTCATGCCTGTTATCCTAGATGCTCAGGAGGCAGAGAACAGGAGAATCATGGTTCAAAGCCAGCCCTGGGTTTGTGAGCCCCTCCCTTGAAAAAACCCATCACAAAAAAAAGGGCTGGTGGAGTGGCTCAAGTAGTAAGAGCGCCTGTCTAGCAAGCACAAAGTCCTAAGTTCAAAGTCCAGTACTGTCAAAAAGTTTTCAAAAAAAAAAGATATGGTACAAAACTATAGTCCCTTACCCTACAAAATGTTTCTCTTTCTTTTTGAACCATTTCAAAGTAGGTTGTAGTCATAAAGTTCTAACTATTGCAGTATCCACTGCTAAAAATACAGACATTCTCATACTTAGTCTTAATAAACGTCATTAAGAAAATAATTTCCCAATGTATTTTGATGTATCTGTTAATAATCCCAAAACTATTTTTATAATTTTTTAAAACCAGGATCCAGTCAAGAATTATGTTTTGCATTCAGTTGTTATTTCTCTTTTATGTCAATAACTTTTTAAAAGACCAGACCAGTTGTCTTATGGAATGTCCTACATTCTGGATTTATCTGATTGCTTCCTCATGATGTGGTTTAACTCCTTTATCAGCACTTTTTTTGTGGTAACAACATCCCTCATATTATCTATAAACTTGAAGTGAGTTCTAAAAGCTTGATTGGTTTCATTCAAGTCAAACATTTTTGGCAAGAAAATTTCACAGGTGATGCTGTGTAATTCATATTGAGGCTTCATCAGGAAACGTGTGCCTGCTTGCCTGTCTGTTATTGATGCTGGCTTTGGTCACTTGGTTAAGGTGACCACTGGACTTCTTTCTCATCAAGGTACATTAGGAAGTAATCCATTGGGTGGTACTTTGGCACCAGGGGAACTATCTTGTTCCCCAAAACCTTTCACCTAGTGGTTTTAGCATCTTTTGATGATCTTTGTGTTATAACGGCAATTTTAAAATGTTTTTTGTTGTTGTTGTCAGGTGTTTTATTTTTTTTCAGTAGTGGAGATTGAACCCAGGGCCTTTACTTGCTAAGCAAGTACACTTATCTCTTGAGCTACATCCCCAGCTCAAAATGGTGATTTTCTTTCCTCTCTCTCTTTTTTTGGGTGGTGGTAGTGGTGTTTGTTGCTGAGGTCAAACTCAGGACCCCATGCATATGAAGCACATGTTTACCACTGAGCTACACCATCAGTCCAAAACAATGTATAATTCTGTTATTCCTCTTCTTACTAGCTAATGTTCTTCATAATTTTTTTGGTGGTACTGGGGTTTGAATTTACAGTCTTACACTTGCTAGGCAGGTAGTCAACCACTTGAGCCATACTTCCAGCCTCCTCCTGACAGTTTTATTTAATACATATGGAGTAATTTGTATACAGTTTCAAGAGCGCTAAAGACCCACTGAAGCCCAGTATGGAGCCTGGGTTAAGGTTGACGCTGAGTGGTGAAGGTGTCATATTTTGTGTGGAAGAGCACCTGTAACTGAGCTCCCATAATCCCTTTATTCTTATAATAAATTTCAAGATAAATTCCCATCCTTAAAAGATTACACTTTCTGTTCCTCAACTTTTAAACTTTCAGGCCATTCAACAAATTGATATGAAAAAGGGATCCCAAGGCTGGCAGAGTGACTCAAGTGGTGGAGCACCTGCCTAGCAAGCATGAACCTTTGAGTTCAAACCCCACCACTGCCATTAAAAAAAAGGAAAAGAAAAAGGGCTCCAAAGACCAGCAAATTCACCCAGTGGCATTTCCTTTTCTTCTTTTTTTTTTTTGGTGGGTATGTGCACGTGTGTTGGGATTGAACCTTCTTCAAACCCTTCACAGTATGTTACAAGTAAAAGAATGCTGAGCTACCCTTATTTCTCAAGCGTAAAACCAAGAAATTGGGTCAAGGCAACTCCTAACGTTTCCACCAGCCTTACTAACATTCTAGGGACTTAATATTACCTTCATTTGTCAGTTAAATTTCTCAGTCCCTTCATTTGAGCTTTGACATACATGTTTTTTCACATTCATTACCACTCTTAAAGTCACACATATCTAAATCCATGAGTGCTTCCAATTGGAATTTACCCTCAACAGTATAATAATCCCTTACATTTATGTAGTGCTTTGACTTTATAAAGAACTTTTTATATATTATCACATTAGATCCTCAAGGAATAGACATTATGTTCCTGCTTTGTTCTCTCTTTGGGTCTTACATAGTAGGGGGTTTATTTCTATGCTGTTAGTGACACTATTGACAAAGGCCACTGAACTCTGTTGTGATGGACTTTCATTATACATACCAATAATAGTTCTGATTTGCCTGTGGTTCCAATTGCCTCATTCCAGCCTTGCAGTTACCTTTGTACCCTGTTGGCTGACTTCCCAGCCATGGCTTTCTTTCCTTCCATGAATCTATAGCAGAGCCACCCTCCTACCCATGCCCCACCCCAAGAGGACCTTGTTTACTGTAACTGTGAAGCACATATGGCACTTCGACTGGTTCTCCTCATTTATGCTCTTGCTGCTACTTTCAGTTTGAACTCTCTCTTTGTGATTTGGGTACTCACTGCGTTTGAGAGCCAAAGATCTGGGTTTTTACCTAGATTTCTTTCTGTGTACCACTCTTAATGCTGAGAACTTTCAACATAATTCTTTCATATAACCTGCTTAGAAACCCTTGAAGGGGGCTGATGGAGTGGCTCAAGTGGTAGAGTGCCTGTCTAACAAGCTGGAGATCCTGAGTTCAATCTCTAGTACTACCATAAATAATTAATTAATAAATAAATGAATCAAGCAAGCAAGCAAGAAACCCTTGAAGGTAAGTATCACTCCCTTTGTTTTGTAGATGGATAAACTGAGGCCCAGAGTATTTAGATGACTTCTCTGTTGTTACAGAGCCAGAGGCAGGAGCAGGTATTGGGTCAGATGCACTGAGCCTTGTAACCTTGGTCAGAACTGGGTTAGGGCTACAGAGGTTAACAGGACTGACCAGGGTCCTATCTGGCTTGATCTTCTGTGATCCCTGGAAGGGCCATCCTTCCAGCAGCCTCAGTCAGCCAAGGGTTCCTCCCATACTGGCTCCTCTTGTGAGCTCAGCTGTGACAGTCCACCCTTGATACCAGCAGAGCAGCCATGCCGGGTCAAAGGCGAGTCAGAGCTGAGAATCTATCAAGTATGCCCAGGCTGTGCTCTGCTAATGGGCTGAGTTTAGATAAAATCCAGTTCCTAGAGAGAGTAAACTGAGCCAAAGTCATAGAACAGCCCAGGGAAATACTCCCACAGGAAGACATCAGCATGCAGGCTCTTAAATGCTTTTTGTTTTGATCAAGAATCTCAGTGCTCTTAATCCTTCATACCTGAAACCTAGAGAAGCAAACAAAAGGAGGCTCTTGCTCTGTTGGGACCCCAGTGGATGGATGTGCAGCTTATGTACTGAGGGAGTGCCATGTACATGGTAGACATTGTAGATTTACATGTTCATTATAACCATTTTTCAGCAGTAGTGATCAATAGTTCTGTTATAGTTGATTATTAGAGCAACTTCTTGAGGCAGGACTTGCTCTCCCAATAACAAGGTCTGGGCTAGTAGCATCGCTGCTCTTTACTCTACCACACCATTCTCTCTGTGCCTCAGTTTTCTCATCTATGAAATGAGGGGTCTGGATTAGATTGGTAAGGATCCTTTTTCTCTGACATTGTGAGTCTTGTAGGAGCTGGTGGTACCAACTGAGTACTGGAACTGTCAGCCCTGTGCAAGGGTGCTACCCCTGCCCCTTTTGTGTGCCTGACCTTGACTCCATGTCTGGTCTCCAAGGAGGCGAAGCCCCACCAGTGAACAGAGACCCTCCTGAGCTAAGGGCACCATGGCCACATCAGCCCCTTGCGGAGCCTGGAAGAGGAGGTGACCTGTTCCATCTGCCTCGATTACCTGCGGGACCCTGTGACCATTGACTGTGGCCATGTCTTCTGCCGAAGCTGCACCACTGATGTCCGCCCCATCTCAGGGAACCGCCCTGTCTGCCCACTGTGCAAGAAGCCTTTCAAGAAGGAGAACATCCGGCCCGTATGGCAGCTGGCCAGCCTGGTAGAGAACATCGAACGCCTGAAGGTGGACAAGGGCAGGCAGCCAGGAGAGGTGGCCCAGGAACAGCAGGACATGAAGCTGTGTGAGCGGCATCAGGAGAAACTGCATTACTACTGCGAGGATGATGGGAAGCTGCTGTGCGTGATGTGCCGGGAGTCCCGGGAGCACCGGCCCCACACGGCCGTCCTTGTGGAGAAGGCTGCTCTGCCCCAGAGGGTAAGCCCTCCTCACCTGCGGAGGGAGCCCTGCCACCTTCCTTGGGAACTCTGCCCTGCAGACCTCAGGAGGCCTGGCTAAGGCCCCTCTGAAGGGTTCTTACTGGCTGAGGACTCAGGCTGAATTCTCCCTCCTGCCCCAGCCCAGAGCATCGATCTGTCTTCACTGCTTGTCTTTCCACAGGAAAAAATCCTGAACCACCTGAGCACCCTAAGGAGAGACAGAGACAAAATTCAGGGCTTTCAGGCAAAGGGAGAGGCTGATATCATGGCTGCGCTGGTAAGTGAGCTGTTAGGGAGCCGTGAGATGGTTCACCTGTGCAGGGCAGGGAGAGCCGGGCAAATAGATGGCAGCTGGGAGGGATTTCTAGGAGTGGCTTGTGGGAGGAAGGGTGTCAGCTGGTAGCTGGCAGACCTAGGCTTTAGCTCAAGCTCTGTTCATATGAGCTAGCTGTATGCCTCAGGCTTTGGGTCTGCTTCTTATTGACAGGTGAGTGGGTCGTTTAGCTGGCAGCTGGGATGTCTTCTTTCCCCTGTGATTCTCACCTCAGCTGCAGGGCCCATGTGTGGCAGCTGTGGCTCTTCTGCTAGGGCACTGAGGAAGGCCTGGCTTTACTCTCACTTTGAAGGGGTTGGGGAAAGATACGACTTCCTGAGTGGAGAGCAGCCAGAGGGTTTGGAAGGAAGGAGCTGACTGCAGGGTAGGAACTAAGGGAAAGGTTAAGGAAGGCTTCACTAGCTCTGACTGATGCCCTGTCTAGTCAGGCCCAGGCCCTTGGTTGGCAGTGAGTAGAAGACAGGCAGCATGTCATGTGTTTGATTAGAGATGGAGTTAAGAGGAAAAGAACTGATAAAATGGTTCCAGTTTTTTTGGGGGTAGTGTGTGTGCTGGGAAAGTGGGCAGTGGAGGGATGTTGGGGCCAGGCCCAGCAGCAAGGGACTAGGCCCTGGGAGGGGGAAAGAGGGTAAAACTGGAGAAAGCTCAAGCCTAAGGAACACCTCCAGGCCCCAGTGTGCATGGGCATCTGCAGCCCAGCATCAGCCAGCAGGGACTGAGGACTCAGCCAGATCTCTGAATTGGCAAGGGGATTTGGAGACAGGAAAGCACATGTCCCTGAGTACGCACAGTCCAGTTTCACTGAGGAAACAGGGTGCAATCCTGCACAGCAGGGATCCTTTATACATAATATAGGGTGCTGGAAGGAGTGTTGATCAGGCTTGGATGGCATTAATCAAGCAAAACTTCCTGGAAGAGGCAGCATAGAAATTTTGTGTTGGCTTATGAAGCGTGGGGTTCCTTTGACATCCCCAAAACACACTGAGTCACCTAGAAGATAGTGGCTGACCAATCAGCAGTCAGTAGCAGTAGTGGAGGGAACTGAACCAATTCACTAATCAAATCTCCTTTGAGAAGAGAAGGGTGGACCAGGGGCACCTGATGGCTTCTCCCATCTCAAGGGCTGTAGAATTCATGAATGGCAGTCATCGGGGGTAAGAGCCAGTCTGGGATCCTGGAGGCATCCTACACACCTAGGCAGAGACATCACCCTTTTCCCCTTCCTGCCCCTGCAGAAGAAGCTGCAGGAACAGAGGCAGTACATCGTGGCAGAGTTTAAGCAGGGCCATCAGTTCCTGAAGAAGCGGGAGCAGCATCTGCTGGACCAGCTGGCCACCCTGGAGCAGCTGCTCACAGAGGGCAGGGAGAAGTTCAAGACCCGGGGCGTTGGGGAGCTCGCCCGGCTGGCTGTAGTCATATCTGAGCTGGAGGGCAAGGCACGGCAGCCGGCTGCAGAGCTCATGCAGGTGAGAGACCAAGCCAGACCGGGGCTGGGAGATCCAGGGTAGGACCCAGCGCGCACTCCTTTATAACAGCTTGTGAGAGTCACATCCTCTTGGGGCCTCAGTTTTGTTACCTGAAACGTGAGTTTGATAGTCTTACCGTTCTCTCTTATTACAGGGGTTGCATGGGCAAGTAAGTTAACTGACGTGTCAATTCGAAAAATAAATCATATACAAAAAAGTATTTAGAAAATTAAAAAGTGCTGTAAAAATAGAAGGGAAGGTTCTTAAGATGGTAATTACCACTTCCATCCTCATCACTATCACCATGACCCTTCCTTGTAACATATTAGATACTTTGGTGGAAGCTTTATGTGGTTCTGGAGATGAAGAAAGGTGTTGTGACTGGGATGACCAAGGGAAGGCTGAATGGTGGCTCTTGTCAAGGGCCATGGTGTCTGGAAGGGATGAGCAAATGGGCAAGGGAGATGGATATCGGGATGTTTTCTCTGGGACCATGAGATTATCCCCAGGGAACAAGATGGGAGACTTGCAGGTAAGCTGCCTCAGGATACTTCCTGGATCAATAACTTTGATGCTGAGACCAAGTTGTCAGTTTGAAATGACACCATATTGCCTTCATCCTGGTGCTTGAACCAGGCACCACCCTGAATAAGGCTGAGCAGCCTTTAAAAGGGGAACCAGGACAGGGGCTATCCAATGGTCTCCCCCACTTGCAGACTTTACGGTAGCTGGACCTATCTCTAGAAATGGATCCCAGGGTAGTGGCAAGGCAAATCAATACCAGGAGTAAGATATTGCAAGGGTATTCCCCGCTTATGTATGCCAAGATAGGCCATGTGGGCAGGAGGCCTCTGCCTGCCTTCTCATCATGGATTCAGATGCATGGAAGAAAACTGGCAGGGTTTTACTCTTCTACTCCGGTCCCTATCCATGAAGTTACTGAGGTCCAGAGCATGGGAGGGATATGTCTCAAGTCTTGGGTCAGGTCAAGTATAAAAGTTGGGACTCAAGCCAGGCGTCCTGACTCCCTGGCCGTAGGCTTTTGTTCTTTCCTCTCACTTTGTCCAAGATGTGTCCTGGCCCCTCCTTTTCCTCAGATGTCATCGGTTGCCCTAACTTTCTCTCATCAGACTCTTTGACTGGGTTACTTGCTCCCTCTCCTCTCCTCCTTCCCCTTCAGGGATGCAGTGTATGGATGTACAGTTGTGTGGGAGCAGAGAGGCACATGGCCCAGCATGCTGGTGGGGCTGACACCAGTGTGTCTGCCTAGAGGGGCCTTTTCCTAATCACCTGGGAGTTGTCTGAAGGAAGAGGGACTGCCTTCTGTGACTCAGAGCTCTTAGACTGAAGCTCCCTGGAAATGTGGGGGTGGGGGGAAACCGAGAGAAGGGAGAGAAAGGGGGTATCTGCTTAAAACCAGTACATGACGTGTTGGTACTGGTTAGTTTTGTTGGTGTTTGTTCAGGTTTGACTTGACTGCAAGGAAACTGGAGAACTAACTCCGTGATTATTGTTAGTATTTTTCCGGAGATTATTTAGGTGTCACAGACTGTTAAGAAAGAGGCCCCAAATAGGGTCCTGAAGTCTGAGAGGGAAGCAGAAGTGAGAGAGAAGCAGAACAAAGAATTCTGCCTTTTTGATAAAGGGGGTAGAAAAGGAAAGAGAGGCCTAGTGGCACTTGCTATAATCCCAGCCCTGGGGAGGCTGAGGCAGGAGCATTGCAAATTTGAGGCTAGCCTGAGCTGTATAACAAGACCCTGTCTCAAACAAAAAAGAAAAAAGAAAAGAACGAGAGACTTGGGCTGGAAGTGTCAAGAAAATGACAACAAAGAGACATGAACATCCTCCTGAGGCTGGTCCCTGGCTGGTCCCAGGCTAGCCCTGGGCCCACCTGCAGGAGGCAGGTCTGCATCTCTGCCTCTCCCACTGTTGGGAAGAGTTTTCCTGAGTTTACTCTGTTAATAACCAGAATGTCCCACACCAGAGATTGCTGTGATTCATGGTACTAGCTTTACTGCTTTCCCTGATTGCTTGCCAAAAGAGTGATCAGGGTTCTCCAGGAGCCGTGGGCAGGTGTCTCCCTCCTAAGGCCCTGTGTGCAGCTGCAGATGGACCTCTAGTCTTCTTTCCCCTTCTCTTGGCTGCTTACAAGCTTTAATCCTTAAATGACCCCTCTCCTGTATTCTTTTCTTTTCCATTCTAGCAACTTGCATGTTACAAAATGTGCCTGCTTGGCCCACATCACCCACCCTGGTACTGCCCCCTTCATTTGTTCTTCTTTACCACCTTTTTTAAGCTGAGTTGTCAGCACACACTGCCTGTTTTGTCACCCCATCATCTGAAACTGTCTGGGACTTGCTTGTTTTGAAGGACAGATTAGAAAGATTTGCTATAAACTCAGCCTATCTCTGGCCAGTTACTTTTTAGGGGTGGAGCAGATGTATCGCTTGACTTTTCTTGTCTACCTTGGAGCAAAGCCCTGCAGTTCTTCTTGAACCTTCTGAAACTATCCCTTGCAGCCACAATTTGGTGATTCTATTTGTTTCCCAAATCTCACCCTCCTGTCAGTCTATGGCCATACCACCTTGAACACACCCGATCTTATCTAAGGAAGTCAACCTGCCCTCTCCCCATCCCCTTTACTCTCTTTTTTTCCATAGTGCTTATTGTTGACTAACATAATATGTCATTATATTTGTTATGTTGTTTATTGTCTGCTCCTCACTGCTAGGATGTCAGCTCTGCACAGGTAGGGATTTATGTCTCTTTTTTTTTTTTTTTACTGCTGTCTCCCATGCTTCTAGATCAATGCTTGGTACATGGGAATCACTTAATAAAGATTTGTGAAATGAGTGAAAGGAAGGCAAAAATGAATTAATACAGAGTACTATGGAGGCTTTAGATTCACAAAAGAAGATCTACATAGCATCTCAAAAGAACCACCTTCCACTCACCCTGTCCATCTACCTGTCTTCCCCTCACACAGACAGCACTACTCTCCTCCCTGTTGCTCGAGCCATGGCCTGTCCTTGATTACCCTTGGCCAGTATGTCCCCTTGTGTCTGTCTTCAAAACATTCCTGGAATGTGCAGCTTCTCTCCTATCTCCATTGCCACCACCCTACTTCAGGACATCTTCATCTTCCTGGCCCACAGCAGCCACTTCCAAACTGGCTACACCATGGTCACATTGCATACCTTCTTCCATTTTCTTCAGGGTATCTCAACTGCTTGGTCACTTAGGATTTTGACCAATTTCTGTGCAGAAGTTTATTTCTGTCTCAGTAGTGGTTCAGAGGCAGAGGATCTAGAGACGTTCATGAATGAGGTTATCCAGGAAGCTGGGTTACTTCCATTTGATTGTTCCCAGCTTCTGGAGATGTTGTCCTCAGCTTTGTGGTGAAGTCGGGCTCATTACCATGATTTCCAAAATTCAGCCAAGGAGAAAAGACTAGGAAGCTTTTTTTTTTTTTTAAAGGACAAGACCCCTCATCCCATAGTCCCAAGGCTGTAACCCGTTCATGAGTAGAACTGGTTATAGGGAACCTGGGAAATGTAGTTTCCTGTATGGCCACATGCCCAGCTCTAATTCTAGGGGTTCTGTTACTAAAAAGGAGAGAACAAGACCTGGAGATACTTAGCAGTGTCAGCCTCATATAAAGCAGATCACATACATCATTCCCCTGCTTGAAATCCTTTGGTGGCTTTCCACTGTACATGAAATAAAATTCAAACTCCTACCACTCATATGCAGGCTTAGGCAATCTGGCCCTGCCTCCTTCTCCAAGGCCTTTCCCATTTCTTATGGCCAGTCTTCACCTCGACAGTACTTTCTCATTCTTCAAACCTTGACCCAAGTGTCTCCATAGAGAGGTTAGCTCTGTGTCTCCCACTTCCAGTTGCTTCTGTCCTTATGATCATTTTGTTTGTTTTCTTGTTGTTTTATCCATTGCCCCACTAGAATGTCAGCTCCCTAAGGGAGAGACCATATTTCTTTTGCTCACTGTTGTGTCCCTGCCTCTGATACAGTGTTGGGCATACATGAATGCAGTCTTACTGGTTCATATTAATGCTGTGCTTTCTTTCCTTCCAGGACACTAGAGACATCATCAACAGGTAAAAGAACTTCCTTTCACAGCATACCTCATTCTGTGTTCACTCCCTTCTTCCCTGACTGTGGTCCATGTTGGTGAATTGGGAGTGGAATGGTATCAAAAATGCCTGCAGCCCTGGTTCATCCTCTGGCCTTCTGGGAAGGATGTTTAAGAACATCCCTACAGAATGGAGACTGCTGTCCCCTGAGCACATTTTTTGTATGACCCCAGCTCCTAGGCCCACTGTCCTTGCTTGAGGCAGAGCAAAGTGGGGAGGGGAGAAGCCTGACTTACTAGATAAAAGCACTTACAGGTAGAGTCTGCTGATGGTCTTAAGTCCTGGCTCAGCCTCAGCTAGTGTCTTGGGCCCCTCTTTTTCTATCTCCTGAGTGGATATCAAACCTTTCCTGCCCCCTTTGCAATTGTCATGAATATTGGGAGAAAAGCAAGAAGAGCCAAGTAATAGGTTGTTATGTCTGTCATTTTCTCAGGTATCCACGGAAGAAGTTCTGGATTGGGAAACCCATCCCTCACATGGTTAAAAGAAAGACTGGAGAATTTTCAGATAAACTCCTCTCTCTGCAGCGAGGCCTGAGGCAATTCCAAGGTAAAGATGGGGAAAGTGTCAGGGCAGGAGTCAGGATGGGACTGAGAGAGGGTACCTGGCTTTTCAGTGTCATATTCTCCAATCTCACTGTTCTGAAGGGTTCCTAGTTGCTGTCTCTTTTCTTCTTGAGGTCTCGGGGATAGGGCTTTGTCACAAAATACCGCCCAAGTAAGAAATGGGCCCATAAATTTGCTGGATTTGAAGGTCATTGCTGTCCTTTTTTCCTCCCCAGGAAAGCTGCTGAGAGACTTAGAATATAAGACAGGTAAGTGTACAAAGGGTTGTTCCCATATTTACTCCAAATAAAGTAAACTTCCCTAAGGAAATTCTCACTGACCCACTCTGCTCCCAGGTAGCCCTTCTCTTTTGCAGCAGGAAGAATTTCCTAGCTTCAAACCTGAAGCCTCACCCCCTTGCATTTTCTGACCAATCTCTTACTCTTGAGTCTACAGAAGACTTCTGCTTGGTGGTCTGACCCTTCTCTACACCATGTTATGTTACTTGATCCTCGCAAGTCCTGCCACCAGTCCTTTTCCTTCTTATCTGCCAATGTGGTCCTGTATTTGGAGCAAATAGCAATGGCCACCTAAGGCCAGAGGCTATCCCTGCCCAAGTCCCCTGCTGTGCTCCCTCAGCCCAACTGCTGGGTTGTTCACTGTGTACCTCCAAAGGACACTGTACTTATAGGCCAGGATGTGAATAGCATCCCTTGGATTATGCAGTGTGACAGCCCTGCCATGAGCCCCATGGAGACTAATGTTCTCTTTCCAGCTTGCCAATGACACTGTTATCTTGTCCCTGCAGTAAATGTCACCCTGGACCCACAGTCAGCCAGTGGGTACCTGCAGCTGTCGGAGGACTGGAAGTGTGTGACCTACAGCAGCCTGTACCAGAGTACCTCCCTGCACCCCCAGCAGTTTGATTGTGAGCCAGGGGTGCTAGGCAGCAAGGGCTTCACCTGGGGCAAGGTGTACTGGGAGTAGAGGTGGAGAGGGAAGGCTGGTCTGAGGATGAAGAGGAGGGGGAGGAGGAGGAAGAGGGGGAAGAAGAGGAGGAGGAAGAGGAACCCGGCTATGAAGATGGATACGACGAGTGGGAAACGGATGAGGATGAGGAATCACTGGGGGATGAAGAGGAAGAGGAGGAGGAAGAGGAGGAGGAAGTTCTGGAAAGCTGCATGGTGGGGGTGGCCAGAGACTCTGTGAAGAGGAAGGGAGACCTCTCCCTGCGGCCAGAGGATGGAGTGTGGGCACTGCGCCTCTCTTCCTCCGGTATCTGGGCCAACACCAGCCCTGAGGCCCAGCTGTTCCCGGCGCTGCGGCCTCGGAGAGTGGGCATCGCCCTGGATTATGAAGGGGGCACCGTGACTTTCACTAATGCAGAGTCGCAGGAACTCATTTACACCTTCACTGCCACCTTCACCCGGCGCCTGGTCCCTTTTCTGTGGCTCAAGTGGCCAGGAACACGTCTCCTTCTCAGACCTTGAGCCCCAACACCTGCCTGGGCCCCATACTCACAGAAGCTTCACTTCTCTAGCTTCTGGAACTCTGTGACAGGGGAGGGATGTCTGGCTAGAGCACCTGGAGCAGGGAAGAGGAGGAACCCTATTTCTATTGCCACCTGCTTCCCCATGGCAGGTGGCCTAAGACCTCACTCAGTGCTGTTTGTAGTGCCCTAATTGGGCTCTTTCCCCCCATCTACTGACTTCCTGGGAGACCTTCTGTTCCTGAAGTCCACAAGGACTCCCTTCCTCCTTTGCCCCAGTTATCTTTTTTGAATAAGGGTTCAAGGCAGGATTTTCTGTCCCAATATGGCATCCTATGCCACTGGTCTTAGGAAAGAGCATTGATTATACCTGGGGCCATTTTGTTGTCCTCACACGCTTATAGATTCCCTTTGCCCAAATTTGCTCTGTTGCCCATCTTCCCTGACATTTTAAACAGACCTCCTACCCCCAACTCGAGTTAAACATATGTGAAAATGCTGAAAATCCACTGAATGAAAATCCGCTGAGGCCTCCCAGGCCATTTAAGTTGGCCACCTGAAGTGCCATGGGAATTATCTCCTGATGAAGCACGGAGGGGACCCAGGTGGAACCAGGGCTGAGCATGAGAGTTTTCCATAGCTAAGGAGATGGGACTCACTGGAGCCCTCTGGTCTTGGGGAAGGATCTAGATACATGTGGCTCTGGAGTAACAGCAGCTATCTATAAATTACCACTGCAGTTGATGTTTGTGAAGGGAGTTTTTAAAAGAATCCAGAACATCTTGATCTGTGCATCTAAAAACACCAGATCAAAACTTCTCCAAGAGAGCAAAACCTCCCTGGCTTTGGGAGCTCTGACAGTTCCTCCAGGAGGACATTAGACTTCTGCCACTGCCCTCCTCAGTGGCCACACTCACTCTCCAGGAGAGGAAATAGGAAGGGGAAGACAAGGCCTTGTGAGGAGAGGGAAGGTAGAGAAGTCCATAACAAGCCAGCACTTCACTGTCAGGAGAGATCATGAAGTATCTCCTCCTCACTGTGGATCCAATTCCAAGTCCCAACCCAGTTCAGTCACTTGTAGTGCCCACAGTTTTAACTCAAGCTTCCTGCTCCAAAGTGACATCCCAGTTTTGCCCTTACCCACTGCAAGTACTCCACCAGTCCTCTGCTTATCCAAGTGTTAACTCCTTCCCTCTCTCAGAGAGAAACTGTTCCTAACCACTCATCTCAGTGGTCTCTTAGCACCACACTGCCCTGGAGCTGCCCACGTTGTGTATATCACATGCTGCCTGAGTCCATGTGCATCTTATTTCCCGCCTCTAGTTTTGTAAGCTCCTGGAGAATGGATGCCATCTCTTAATACTTGTGTTCTCCATGGCACCTAGTGCAGTGCTGGGCGCAGAGTAGGTGCTCAATAAAGACTTGTTCAATGAATGGCCTAGAGACTATGTTTTTACTGCAATTCTGATGTCACCAGACTTCAGTCTAAGAGGTTCATTCTATTGATGCCAGTAGCCCAGGGTTTTCCTTTTGTCTCTAAACTCTGGCATTGCTTTCTATCCTCTGTTTGCACACATGCTGCCCTTTCTGGAAGTCCTGAGAGAAGAGCCTCCTATGGACACAGACCAGCCAGCACCAAGGCTCCACCTTGCTCTCCTGCAGTGGTTTGCTGAGCTGAGGTCCCACACTTTGGGAGCAGGTGATGACCAGATTCCTTCAGAAGGACTCATCAGCTAGCACACCATGTTCCTTTGGAAAATAAGTGTCCCAAAGGAATCCATCCACAGCAATTCAGTCTGTCTCCCAACACATCAGCTGTCTAACCATTTCTTGTCCTGATTATTTTGAAATTGCCATCTTAAGAAAGGAAAAGAGGACTGGAGGTGTCACTCAGGTGGTAGAGTGCCTGCTTCGCAAGTGTGAAGCCCTGAGTTCAAATCCCAGTCCCACCAAGGGAAAAAAAAAAGGAAGAGAGAACTACCCCTAAGACTGTACCAGTGGCAAAGATCATATTTCTTCCTTGTATTTCCATTTGTGGATATAAATTTCCCTTTTATTTTTTAAATCTTTATAGTTTGTAGTTTTTTTATGAACTGTACCTGCACATAGTCAACTATTTCTACATTTGTCTCAAGAAACCCAGCTCACACTTTTTAGCAGACTATTGGTATTTACCTTCATTTTTCCTAAATAGCTTGAGGGTGGGGCATTACCCTCTGATTTCCCATCATGAGGACGGAGGATTTAGCTCTCCCCTCCCTGTCCCTTACTATACACTCTCTCCCCCTCCATCCCTGCCCTTCAGTGTGGTTCTAATATTGAATAAATAAGTATGTAGTGTGTTCGGTCTATGTAAAAAGCTATTTACACCTTGGGTCCTGCACAATCTTTTGTTTTCCCTGGTAGTACTTGTCCTTCCCTTCGGGTGCCAGTGGCTCACACCTGTAATGATAGCTACTCAGGAGGCAGAGATCAGGAGGATCGAGGTTCAAGGCCCGCCCTGGCAAATAGTCCTTGAGACCTATCTCAAAAATACCCAACACAAAAAAGGTCTGGTGAGGTGGATCAAGTGGTAGAATGCCTGCTTGGCAAGTGGGAGGCCCTAAGTTCAAACCTCAGTAACATCAAAAATAAAAAAAAAAACTGCCCTTCCCTTCCCACCCCCTCACTTCGTTTTCTATGGCCTTATCAGTTGCACCCCAAACTATTCCTGAGTTGTCAAAAATTTCAAGATGCTCAGTCATCAGGTACTCAGCATTCTTGTCTTGCATCTCTTCTGAAGCCTTCTAACCTTGAATCTGGGGTTGTTGCTACCTTGCCTGTTCATAGCTTCCTGGATCTCCCTTTGCCATCAGTCTATCAGTCTGGGAATCCTGGGTTGATTCTATTTCTTTTTTCTTTCTTACCTTTTTTTGGTACTGGGGTTGAATTCAGGTCTTCATGCTTGCTAGACAGGCATTCTACCATTTGAGCTACTCCGCCAGCCCTTTTTTGTGTTGGATATTTTAGAGACTTGTGAACTATTTGCCTGGGCTGGCTTTGAACCATAATCCTCCTTAACTTTGCCTCCTGAGTAACTAGGATTACAGGCGTGAGCCACCAGCCCCCGGCTCAGGAGCACTTTTGAATAAAAGCAGATTGATAAAATGACAGAGATTGTGACAGATTTTTTTCTTTCCATTTTTATTAGGATATATTCATTGTACAAGGAGGACTTAAATTGTGACAATTCTGAAGAGCCTTACATTGTACGTTGGTTAACTCTTTCCCACCATCTCCACCCCACACACAACCCCGCAAACACTTCTCCACTCCACTTAAAGCAATTGCAAGAGGTTTCTTCATTCTATTTTGTATATGTTTATGAAGCCCATCAACCATATTCCTTCACCTTCATTTCTTCAATTCTCCCTCTCACAAGTATAACCTATGTTATAGTCCTGTCTTTCACCATTAATTCCAAAGTCAGTGTTCAAGAGGTTTAGCAAAGCATCCCTGCTGTGAGTGTACTTTACTTTGGTCAATTCGTCCCCTAACCCCTTCCCTTTCCCCCTCCCTCACACTCCCCATTATTCAACAGCTTTCAGAACATATCCTATGTCCTCTACCTGCACAGATGTAATGTATTTCAGTATTTTTCTTGACTATCATTTTCTTTTTGTTTCCCTCCCCCGCCAAGTTCCATAGAGTAGTTCCACTGTTAGAAACATGTTCTACATATAAGTCTGTATATGATCATGTTTATTTTTCATATTTTTTCTCTCATCTCAATATTTATACTTATTATTTCTCTTTATTTAATTACATAGGACCCCCAGTGCAGGATTGACTGGAAGCCAGGATGGCATGTCACCTTGTTCTTCATTTTTAAAAGGATGTTTCTATTTATAGTTGGAATTATTAAGTATGTTCAGTTTGATGTATAATTTTGTAATAAGTTCTTTATAGGGTAAGAAGATTCAGCTAACAACTGTTAGTTGTTTTTTGTTTGTTTTTGTTTTTTGGTACTGGGGTTTGAACTCAGGGCCTCACACTTGCTAAGTAGGTACTCTATCTCTTGAGCCACTCTGCTAGCTCAGTTACTAGTTTCAGCATTTTTAAGAATGAGTATTGAGCCAGGCACCAATGGCTCATGCCTGTAATCCTAGTTACTTGGGAGACAGATTGAGAGGATCACAGTTAGAGGCCAGCCAGGGCAAATAGTTCATGAGACCCGTCTCCAAAAATAACCAGAGCAAAATGGACTGGAGGTGTGTCTCAGGTAGTAGAACACCCATTTTGGAAGTGTGAAACTCTTGAATTCAAACCCCAGTCCCACTTCACAAAAAAAAATGAGTATTGAATTATATCACATGCTTTTCTATTTTTATCAAAATGTTTTCCTCTCCTTTATTAATGAATGACTAATGAATTTTCATGTTAAGTCAATTTTCCATTCTTAGGGAAACTTTTTCTGCTCATTCTGCAGGATTTTAATGTCTATGTTCATAAGTGAGATTGGCCCTCAAGTTTATATTAGGCTCATAGAATTAGTTGGGAAGCCTTTCCTCTGTTTTCTGTAATACTTCATTTATGATGGGAACCAATCATCAATATTTATTTATTTGCAGTACTGGGGTTTGAACTCAGGGTCTTATGCTTACTAGGCAGGTGTTCTTACTGCTTGAGCCACTTCACCAGCCCATTCTTTTGTGTTGGGTATTTTTGAGATAAGAGCCTCACTTTTTGCCTGGGCTGGTCTCAAACCAAGATTTTTCTGATCTCTCTCTCCTAATCTCTAAGATTATAGGAGTAGGCCACCAGCACCCAGCCTTTTTTAAAAAGGTTTTTTACAAAAACTTATAAATGGACCTGATATTTATTTTTGTTGTGTAAGAAGGGTCTTAAAATTTAATTTCTAATTTGAATTAATAAATGACTATAGACATATTTGTGATTTTCCATGTCATTAGGAGTCTGCTATGGCAAGTTATATTTTATATAAAATTGTCCATAAGCTCTTGAGAGCTCTCTCATGACCTCTTGTTCTAGAAACCTAACTGGGAGCAACTGGAGATGCAGAAAGGACAAAGGATAGAAGACAGATATGCAGAAAGTTGGGGTCAGGTGTGTTGGGTGCTTGGATGGAGACACACAACAGCCTTGTTACTTCTTTTCTCTTTTATTCTCTTCTTTTACTTTGCTTCTTTTTTTCTCTATTCTTACTTCTGAAGTCTTTCTTTAAAACCTCGCTTCTTTTCTATTCTTTAAAGTTTCTGTCCTGAGACTTGCTCTGTCCCATGTTTTCTTTAATCTCTCTTAAAGTCTTGGCCCTCAGACTTGCACTGTCCCATGTTCTCTCTTAAAGTCTCGGTGCTCAGACTTGCAAACAACAGCCACGTCTAAAAACTGCATTAGCGTAACTCTTAAAGTCTCAGTCCTTAGACTTAAAGTCTCAGTCCTTAGCTTTTCTTTAGCTTAGCTTTTCTAAAGCCTATGTATAAAGTTCTCAGTGCAGAAAGCTGCTCTGGTGGAGACACACAACAGCCAGCCAATCAGAAAATCCCCCATCCTCCTTCAGCAAGTCTTTTATATCCAGTGGTAAACAAGGAGGTGAAGCAACAGTTCTTGGGGAGGGATGTGACATTGTAACAAAAGAAGCCTGCTCTCTACTTCTTTCTCTGAACATAAACAATTTAGGAAAAGTAGCTGTGCTGCATTTTGCCTTTGCCCCCTTCTGCAGCTGGGACTGTGCCAAACTCAGCCTGCAGATTATTGAGCACAACTGTGCTTATGTCACGGTCTCATAGGCTTCTCATAATCCACTTTCCACAATAAGCCTCTATTTTCAAAGACAGTAACATAAAGTTTTCCAGTACAGTACTTTGCTCCTGTTTTTCATTCTAATATTGTTTATTTGTAATTTTTACTTTTTCTTGGTCAGTCTCGCTGAATATTTGCTCTGTTAGTAGTCTTTTCAAAGAACAAGCTTTCAGCATTGTTTAATATTTTTATTCTATTCCATTTACTTTTGCTCTTATGTCCCTTTCTTTTACTTTTTTTAGCCTTACTCCATTCTTTTTTAACTTGCTGATTTTCACAGTTTAATTTGTATCTTTTTTTTCTCTATGCATCTAAAAGTAAATTTTAGCTTAAGTAAATGCCACAGTGGATTTAAAGCTATGTCCACAAATTATTTTGATGATCTTCCTTTCAAGAGTAGAGGGGTGAGATGATAGGGGTGATCTAACCAATCTACAATGTAAGCCTATTTGGAATTGTCACTATGAATTCTCTTCCCCCCTCCCACAAAATGAATAAATCTTAACCAAAAAAATGTATAATAAATAAGTAAGTAAATCCTTCTTTTAACCTTGCATTAAAAAAAAAAAGAGTAGAGGGGCTGGGTTGTAGCTCACTGGGAGAGCTTGCACTTGCATATGTGAAGCCCTGGGTTTGAGTCTCAGCACCAAAACCAACCAACCAAACAGGTAATGCTTAATTCCTCTTTCCTTGAGTATGGGTTGGACTTAGTGACTCATTCCTAACAAATAGCATACTGTTGTAGAAATGGCATGTGAACTTGTGTTTTAAAGTCTTATAAATGTATAGGCTT